TATATATGTATGTATACAGTCTGTATACATTCAACATAGTACATGATGTAACTGAAAGTACTTCTGGACCAAACTCTAAGCATCCTTTTAAACATACCAGTTATTGACTGACTGAAGATTCTGAGAGAAAAAGAGGCAATAATTTCACAATCTAGACCTTGCTAAAATGTGGAATGAGTACCTGAGTAGAAGGTTATTAAGATGCGTGAGAAGTGCAGTACATAAAGGTTGGAGCCAAATTGAAGACAAAATATCTATATCATAATTTTGTTGCTGCTTGGTCTTTTTGAGACAGTTTCCATGTAGCCTCAGTAGACCTGGAACTACCTATGTAGTCCAGGATATCATCAATCTCACAGAACTCCACCTGCCTCTGCATCCAGAGTACTGAAATTAAAGGTGTGCACCACCATGCCTGGCCTTATATCATAATTTTATTTAGGGTCAGTTTATAAAACAGAAAAATAACAAAAATGTATAGATCAGCTTGACCAATAATTATATTCTGCTCAAATGAAGACTAAAAACAACCAGTTTATAACAATTATCTAACATTTTGAAGGCCAAATAAATTACTTTTCATATTAAATAATGAAACTTAAAAATATACTGAAATGAAGTGAAAAACCAACACTGATACTATCTCCTAGCTACTAAACTTCAAATGTTGAAAACAACCTCTTTGTACTTAGAGTGACGGTGGTATAGATGAAGTATTCTTTAGACAGGTAATGAGAAGAACTTTTTAAATAGGAAGAGATTATATTACTAAAAGCAGCAAGAAATAATTATATGAAGAAATCTCATATAATTAAAGCTTCTGTAATACCAATTTGAGAATTTTTATTATACAAGATTTTGAGGGGCTAGAGATGGCTCAGTGATTAAGAGCACTGGCTGCTCTTGGAGAGGACCCAGGTTCAATTCCCAGCACCCACATGGTGGCTAACAACCATCCATAATTCAGGGGCTCTAACATCCTCTTCTGACTTCTGCAGGCATAGCACAACATGAGTGCACTTACACACATGCAGGCATATACTCATAAAATAAAAATAATAATAAAAATAAATAAAATTAAAATTAAAAAAAGATTTTGATGAGTAATCAAAAAAGAATGTTAAAAGTTAAAAACTGTTTAGGTCAGGCATATAGTGCATGCCTTTAATCCCTGCAAAAGAAGCAGAAGCAGGCAGATCTCTAAAAGATAAGTCAGGCAGGGTCTACTTAGTGAGTTCTAGGTCAGCTGGGGCTATAGGGAAACACTGTCTCAAAAAAATCCAAATTATAAAAAAAAATAAAAATAAAACTCTTTAGGCCTCTTAACTCTGAACACCAAACACCATTCTGAAATTTTTACTAAACCCACAGACCTCTGCAATTGTTTTTCTGTACAATTACTTTCCTTGTACATTTATAAGGTTAAATATATAAAACTAAATAGTAACAAATACTCATTGATAAAGATCGGATTTTTGCTCTTTTGTAAGTATTAGGTACAGACTGCCCTCTCTTCAACAAGCCAAACAGCGTTAGTGTTAAAGTTTCTTATAATCTCCACTTGTATTTTCTTTTAAAAATATTTACTCTCAGCCAGGCATGGTGGCACACACCTTTAATCCCAGCACTTGGGAGGCAGAGGCAGGCAGATCTCTGTGAGTTCAAGGCCAGCCTGGTCTACACAGTGAGTTCCAGGCCACCTGAGGCTACAGGGAGACCCTGTCTCAAAAAGGCCAAAAAAAAAAAAAAAGTCCAATCTAATCTTAAATACTAATATTAGTTTTATTATTAAAGTAAAATGGTTCATCACGGTTATTTTTTTGTTAATATGCCAGTATGACAGAATAATGACTTTAGAATTAGTAAAATTCTGATTAAATCTTCTCTCCATCATTTCCTAGCTTTGATCATGGAGATGTTACTTATTATCTCTGAGCTTTACTTTCCCATTTGTAAAACAGGGACAGTACAAATGATCTGCTGCAGATGCTAATGTCCAGAAATTAAACAGAATGAATATCTCATAGCAAAATGGTATGTGAAGTCAACAGATTTAAGTTCTACACGCATGAGTCCAGCATTCTTCTCAACCTCAAATACTTTATGGAAAGTCAAATTCCCAGAGAGAAAGTCAACTTAAAGTGATTTTATTTTCTTGTTTTTGAACAAATGGTGGTTTTAATAAACATGCACTTTTTATACTTGCTTTGATTTTTGGACTAATAAAAATATTATATCTTGAAAAGTTCTATTCTTGACAAAATAACCTTTGTCAAAAAGCATTAATTCATCTATTTTATACAGTTTAGAAATGCTAAAGCCTATCGGGAAAACAGTTTGGCAAAAAGTATCAACAAGCAACTCCTGTTATCTACATCTATCTATCTATCTATCTATCTATCTATCTATCTATCTATCTATCTATCATCCATCTATCTATCAACTATCTATCTATCTATCTATCTATCCATCCATCTACCTACCTATCCATCTATCTATCTATCCATCCATCCATCCATCCATCCATCCATCCACCTACCTATCTATCTAACAGTATAACATTTTATACTGTTATCACAACATTTTGAGCTGTTCTTTCCATTAATGTGCATGATGCCAGAATATCAGATGCAGGGGCTGGAGAGATGACTCAGTAGTTAGGAGCACTGGCTGTTCTTGCAGAACACCAAGGTTCAATTCCCAGCACCCACATGGTGGCTAATAACCATTCATAACTCCAATTTCAGGAGAATCCAACACCCTCTTCTGACCTTTGTGGGCAATGAACGACACAGGTGCACTTAACACACATGCAGCCAATATACTTATACACATTAAAAAAAAAGTAGTGAATAATCAATTAGGAAAAAAAGCCAATTACTATATTCCACAGTTAAAAAAAGATTACCCCCATTTATACACACACACACACACACACACACACACACGTACACGTACACACACACAAACACACCCCACGCACACCACTTACCTGATGACGAAGCAGCTAGTGAAGCTGAAGAAGATGAATCAGATGATCCAAACAAGGGGTCCCAACCAAGTAAATCATTGGTCCCTTTCCTAGCATACCATTTAAAAAATAAGGATTTTAACAAGAGAATATTTTATTAGTCTAAAATCTATTCACTCATTTTAATTCCACAAAATTCTAAAAGTTCAATACACAGGATTAAAGAGTTACATACTCTGCTAATGGCTTATATAAAAAATTGATAAACTTAATAAACAGTATTTAAGCAGAATCTATAATAACTTTACATAAAGTTGGCAAGGAAAAGTGGCAAAGATTAATCTCCCTGATCATACCTTGTTAAATATTAACTGTGTATACAGGAAAAGGGATGATTTCAGATTTAAAAATGAAGAGAATAGCAGTCTAAATAAGCTATTCAATATACACAGCTAACAGATTCTAAAATAGTCTGAGCGTCTCTAGTTTCAGACCTAGTACTCAATCTAGAATAAAAAATTATTTAATTCTAACAAGTGAAATTTATAAAAAATTTTATAGTGTTACTATTTATTTTTAAAGATGAAGAAAAAGAGCAAAAGATTTTTAAAAGAACTTTAGATTAGACCGCAGGTCCATTTATGCCAAAAATAATTACAATTACCTAAAATCATGTATCTAATATTTCAACATGCCCTTATGCAAACACACTACACCCTGTACAAGAAAGCTTATCGTATCTGTATAAATTATTTCTAAACATAAAATTTTAAACATTAAGTTATCTTTAAAAAAATAAATAATAAATACTACTATTGTGCTCAATTAGTGCTTCAAAAGTATCAAACAATCTCAAACTACCCACTTTGTTAAGCTTGCTTTTTCACTCATGTGAAAATATTAACTCAGAGGAAGTTGCCGAGACATGAAAAGGGAATCAATCGTGCAACACAGGCTTAACTTCTTGCCTTTTCATCTTAATTAAGATGCTTTATCATGCAGTTCATGAAATATAGTCTATAAAGTCACAATCAAGAGTAAATAAAGAAATGAGAACATTTCCACGAGAATAACTATTTGAAAACTGACATATATGAATTTAAAATAGCATCATTTATTTAGAAGCAGTAAGGTCACCAGGCTCACTGTGGTTAAGTGTTTTTCTTTTTTTAAATCATTGTAAAAAGAACTATTAAGTCAAGGAAATTAAAATATCTAAAAGATTCAACACAAACTTCAGAGTTCATAAAACACTTTACTAGTAAATTCTAGAACAAAAGGACAAAGAGGATACTTAAAATCTAAATATGGTAAAAAGGAAGGACTTAATAACCAGAGCATGGGATTTTCAGGGCAATGAAAATACTCTTTATGATTCTATAATACCAGTTCTTGAACATTTGTCAAAACCCACACAATGCGCAAGACTAAGAGTGAACCCCGTAATCTATGAGTTTTGGATTACTCTGTGTAAAAATGCAAGTACATGAGCTGTTACAAATGTACTAATCTGGTGAGGAATTCTAAGAGGGAAGCTTGGAAAATGTAATAAGGGTAGAGAGTATACAGGCAATCTCTGTACCTTCAACTCAGTTTTGCTCTTAACCTGAAACTGTTCTAAATAATAAAATCTATTAGAAGAAATAAACAGCAAACTTACTCATTGGGTAGAACACATGACTTTGATTTTGTTAACTCCTCATCTAATTAAAAAAAGAAAATATGAAAAATTCATAATCTGAGAAATAAAATACTTTAATTAAAAGAGACTCTATACACATATTCCAATGCTAAGAACAACTTAAGAATTTTGGAACTGAAATACAAACAATTAGGAAGAAAAGGCAAAGCTGAACTTCTGTTGATGCTTGACTTCTTCCATTAGATCTGGGAAAGAATTTCTTAAGTAAATTAAACTGCAATATTCATTAAAATAAAATTACGGTTTAAAAGAAAATATGGACTGTAACTTTAAAAATTAGGAATATGTTTAAAATTTTGTGTATACTTTATGAATTTCAATTGATGAATCATAAAATCAGTTTTCAAGTTCTAAGAGCATTATTAGTGATTATTATTTAATCATCACTAGTACTGAAGGTAGTCATTCTTATTTTGAAAAACTGAAATTTTTTAGCAAACCAGAACAAATATTTTTTGCTATGTTTTGCATTTGTGATATGTCTCATTTTATAAGCAACTGATAAATGGGAATGGCACTGGTAATGCCAAACTCATGCTAGCATATAATCAATTTTCCCTACACCTTAATGTTCTGTATTATGGAGAGTTGATGACTGCAAAGTGATTCAATATGGTCACAGCAGCACATTACAAAGAAGTGCCACACTGTACACAATACTCACAGTACAGCCTTCATTTGACTCAGTTTAAGATGTTTGCTCAGTCTCAAAATGTTTCTTTTACCGTCTTTCATCTTTCTGCATTTTGTCTTCGTCACCATAATCCAACAGCCCATTTAGCATCATTTTCTCTACCATCTCTATCAGTAAGCTACCACCAGCATTTCTTTTTTTATTTTATGTGTATGAGTGTTATGCCTGCATGTATGTGAGTGCACCTGTGCCGTGCAGTGCCCACAGAGGTCAGAAGAAAGCATCAGATCTCCTGGAACTGGAATTACGAATGATTGTTAGCTATCATGTGGGTGCTGGGAATTGAACCTCGGTCATCTGCAAGAGCAATTGGTGCTCTTAACCACTGACCACCTATCTAGCCCCCAGTATTTCTTTTTAATAATAAATCCTAACTTCTATTTTGGTATTTACTAATTTAATAGGTGTTCTAAATTGTGTTAAAATTTTATCAAGATTGATTTTTGTTAACCATTCTAGTTACAAAACTACACAGTCATTGAGCTGTTTCAACTGGTTCCCATTAAGTCTGATTTTTACTGTATAATTCTGCAAAAGGTGTTAATATCCTGAAATTTTTTGTATTATAGTTACTAACCATAAAATTGAAACTAATTATGATATCACTTTTTAAAAAATTCATTAAAGCTAAAGATTACTATTTTATAAAACATCTCAACACGCTTTTTACAGAGCTGAGGTTCAAACTCAGGGCCTTGTACATGCTAGGTTCATGTAGCAACTGAGCTATAACCCCAGCCCAGACTATTTTAACATTTTTTTAACCTGTATGAGTATTTTGCCTACATATATGTAAGTGCACTACCCACAGAGATCAGAAGAGGGAGTAATATCCTAAAACTGAAGTTATCAATGGTTGTTAGCCACCATGTGGTGCTGGGAACCAAACCCAAGTCCACTTCAAAAACAGCCAGTGGCCTTAACCACTGAGTCATTTCCCCAGACCCAATTTTAATTTTTCTTTTTCTTTCTTCCTTTTTTTTTGGTGGATATATGTATTGCCTGCATGTAGGTAGGTGTACCCTTGTTGTGAAATGCCCATGGAGGTCAGAAGAGAGTGTCAGATCCCCTGGAATTGGAGTTACAGACAGTTGTTAGCTGCTATGTGGGTGCTGGGAATCAAACTCAGGTCCTTTGCAAGAATAGTCATTGCTCTTAACCACTGAGCCATCTCTCTATCCCCCATTTTAACATTCTTAAATAGAAGTTACTTTGGCTTTGAGTTCTGAAAAAATTTGAAGCCCAGTATCAACACTTATCCTTTACTACTACAGAAACTAATACAAGCAATTAATTTTCTATTTATAAAATAAGTATCCTGGTGAATCATTAAGACTGGTAGTATGAAAAGACTTTCTTAACTATAAAAAGCTAAAAGACTAACAGGCTGCAGATAAATTTTTACAGACATAAAACAACCAATTCAAATTTCAAACTTACTAGATGAATTCCGATTCATCTGCACCTAAAACAGAAATGCAAACACTAAGCATTAATAAACAATTTAACTTCGTATTGAAATATTTGGCAAAAGGTTAATACTGAGAACTTAGTTTAACATATTTACATAAAATACATAGAAAAAAAATTTAGTAGTTATACAAGTACCTCTAAATATAAGCATAATAATTTTCATAGTGTAATATTTCTGAATTTAGAATATAAAATACATGTACCTAATAAAATCGTCTTAAAATATTAAAATAGTATCTACAGCAAAATACTGCAACTTAAAAATCTGAATTTAACATAAAATTCTGAAAATCAATGTTCCAAAATTAATTTCTTTCAAAGTCAACAGGTAAAATATAAAATCTTGGCACTTACTGGACTGTGTCTCTAGCAGTACATGGAAAAAAAAAAGAGAAATGGTGTTCAGTATGGTGTTTAAATTATGTTTTCCTGCTCTCATAATTTGTCTCTTCCTTTCTAAATCCCACCTAAACATACACATCTTAAAACACACTGTTAGGGAGAAAAAACTGTGTTAACCAAACTGGGCAATAAGATATGCTCAAAGATAGCCTCTTATCAAATCTGATATTTACTATTAAAAATTTTTTAAAGATTTATTTACTTTATATTTATGTGTGTGTCTGAGTGTATGTAAGTGATCACATGTGTGTGAGTGCCCATAAAGCCCAGAAGAAGGCGTTGGAAGCCCTAGAACTGGAGTTACAGATGTGGGTGCTAGGAACTGAACTCAGGTCTTCTGCAAGAGTGGTCAGTACTCTTAACCACTGAGCCCATTTCTCCAGCTGTAAAATTTTTCTTGATTATATACTTTCTGAGTATGAAATTAATACATTTTTATTAAAAAAAACAAAAAAACTGAGGTGAGACACAAAAAAACTTTAAAATACCTATGATCTCACTACTGAGAAAGTGATTTGTGACATACAGCATTCTTCTAAGCTTTTATTTACATACACTTTTTAAATTTTTATTATTTTTATTTTATGTGTATGTATGTGTTGCCTGCATGTACGTAAGTGCACTCATGTTGTGCAATGCCCACAGAGGTCAGAAGAGGGTGCTGGATCCCCTGGGACTGGAGTTACAGACAGTTGTTAGCTGTCATATGGGTGCTGGGATTCGAACCCGGGTCTTCTGCAAGAACGAGTGAGTGTTCTTAAGCGCTGAGCCATCTCTCCAGCCCCTATTTACAAACATTTTTAAAATTAGTTACACTATTATACAATAAAATTTTTCAACGATTTGTATTTCTTTGCTTCATATACACACTAACATTCTTTTATAACCACCTATTAGTCAATGTTAAAACAATAAAACCTCACTTTAGAAATTTTCTGAGGTTGAAGGAGTAACTCAGTGGTAGAGAGCATCTGCCCTGTAAGCACAATGCCCTTCCTTGATTTGACACCAGTACTGGGGGGGGGGGGTTGATGGGGGTGAAAAGAAGTTCTCGAATTAAATTCTGAAGTGCTTGTCTGGGAGAAAAACACTTTTCAACCCCAAAACAAATACATTTAAAATACATCATTAGAATGGGATGTGGTGGTGCATCCCTTTATTCCTAGCACTGAAGAAGCAGAGGCAGGTGGAACTCTTGAGTTTGAGGCCAGCCTGGCCTAGATAGTGAGTTTTAGGTCAGTTAGGGTTACATGACAAGACCCTATCTTAAAAATAAATAAATAAATCTGGGCATGTTGGCACATGCCTTTAATCCCAGCGCTAAGAAGGCAGAAGCATGTAGATTTCTTTTTGAGGCTAGCCTGGTTCATATCACAAGTTCCAGGCCATCGAAGACTACATTTTGAGACTGTCTCAAAAATGAAAGAACAAAAACAACTCACCAAAAATATAAACACATACACACACACACACACATATGTAACTAGGTAATATAAATGGTACTTCTTTAAAAAAAAGATTTTAAATCAGTTATATGCATATACACATCATTCTAGCCATGATTTTTCCTCATAGTGTAATATTTCTGAATTTAAGAATATGACATTATTTCATACAAAAGGGACTGCTGTATACCATCATCTTATTAAAAGGACCTGGAATTTAAAAGGATTTGGTGCTAGGAGCCACATATGAGGAAGAACATATGTCGTTTGTTTTTCTGAGTCTGTGTTACCTCACTTAGTATAAGAGTTTCTAGATCCATCCATTCACCTGCAAATTTCATTATTTCATCTTTCTTAAATAACTACCATCATCATGACTTCAGCTGAGCCTGATCACTACACGTAGTCATAACTGGGCTTTTTGATGGTTGTGCTCATTCATTAAAGGAGTGACAAGCAGGGTCACTGGATCCTCACCTGTGTATCCAGCCACTCTTCCCAGCCTTGGAAGACAAAAGAAAAATGAGGAAGAACCCAATAGAGGAATGCTTTTGGAAGCCCTTGTCAAGAAACTCCAATGGACTCTCATATGAATATTTGAAAATTGCCCTTTTCTGACTTTTGTCTAGTTCCCTGTCTAGAACTTGTAATGCTAATTACTATTGCCTTTACTTTTCCTTCACATCTCCTACTCATGATTCAAGGACTTTCTTTTCCCCTTAGAGACAAGAGTTATGAAATTTGGGAGTCTAAGATACACCCACTGACGGGGTATTCCAATTGCCTCACCATGCGTTCCTGTTCAGCATGGAAGAAGCCAGAGCGGTCTGCGTCCTGATTCCCTACTGGTGATTTGGGCAGCCCCTTCAGAGGATGGCGTGATAAGAATAGGACGTAGGAATTGGCTAGGCAGTTAGAGTAAAAAGACTCCAAAGAAGGCCGGGCGTGGTGGTGCATGCCTTTAATCCCAGCTCTCGGGAGGCAGAGACAGGCGGATCTCTGTGAATTCAAGGCCAGCCTGGTCCACATAGTGAGTTCCAGGACAGCTGGGGCTACAGGGAGACCCTGTCTCAAAAAGACCAAAAAAAAAAAAAAAGACCCCAAAGAAATGTACCCAGTTTCTGGCTAAAAGTCAAAATGTCCTTGGGCCTGTTAGCAACATACTCTGTTTCAAAGGCCAAAAATTTCAAAAGTATTTGGGAGCTTGTATCTAATCCTTAAAAGATTTTAGGGTTACCTCTTCAGAGGGGGGAATGCTGGAGGGGAAGGAGTGGGCATGGATTTGATCAAAACACCTTATATGCATGTATGAAATTCTCAATAAAGTTTTTGTAAACGTTTAAAAAAGTGAATATGACATTAGCAAATTTTTATTTTAGTAGTTTAATTAGTAGTAATTTTTATTAATATTGTATACATATGATATGTATGTGGATACGCAGGCACCCACACAGCTAGAAACCAAAAGACAACTTTTGCAAGTTGGTTCTCTCCTTTCACCTTAGAATCCAAGAACTGAACTCAAACGGTCAGGCTGGAGAGACAAGTGTTCTTAACTGTTGAGACACCTCACAGGCTATAGTAGTATTTTATTTCTCCCTCAAACGCAAATGTTATAGTGACAGACAAGAAAAGAAAACTGCAAAGAAGGGCCAGTAGTGTAGCTCCACGGTAGACTGCTTGCACTGCCTGAGCACTCACAAGGCAACTACTTGCAAGTCTGAGCACTCAAACCATCTGTAACTCCAGTTCAAGGGGGTAAAAAAGCAAAGACCAAGTTAACCTTTAAGGTCATTTTCAAGACATTTCTTTATACACATGTTTCAAAACATGGAGTAAAAACTTTAATATTAGATGAAAAAAGATTAACACCGTCAGTTCACAAAGTTCTGCCTGAGATACACTGTTTATCAAGTACAACAAATAGTAGAAAGCATGCATTTTCTACATTTTCACTTTTTTTTTTTTTTTTGGTCTTTTTGAGACAGGGTCCCCCTGTAGCTCCAGCTGTCCCACATCAACAAGTTTGTTTATATAAAAACTATAAACAATATTTTCTCAACCAATGTACTTTACTGCTCAATGTTTTGTTTACTGACTGATTTCTTATATTCTTTTTTTTAATATTATTTTTATTTTATGTGTATGAGTGTTTTGCCTGCATGTATGTAAGTATACCACATGTGTGCAGTGCCCATGAGGCCAGAAGAGGGTGTCAGATCCCTTGTAACTGGAGTTACAGACAGTTGTTAGCTAACACGTGGGTGATGGGAACTGAACTCCAGTCCTCTGCAAGAGTAGCCAGAGCTCTTAACTGCTGAGCCATCTCTCCAGCCCTCATATATATTTTTTTACATTCTTATAATTAACCATAGGCCAGCCAGGTGGCTCAGCAGGTAAAAGAACTTGTCACAATAAGCCTCATAACCTGAATTTGATCCCTAGAAACTATGTAACGTAGAAAGAGACAGCCTACTCCACAAAGTGGGCCTGACCTCCACATACATGCTGTGGCACACACACACTCTTCTACACACATAAGCACACAATTATATTGTGCCACTATGTATATATATATATATATATATATTTTTTTTTTTAATTAGGGCTCAAGAAATGGCTCAGCGGCTCAGCAGTTAAGAGCACTGGCTGTTCTTATGGAGGACCCAAGTTTGGTTCCCAGCACCCATATGGTGGGTAGCAACTGTCTGTAACTCCCCAAGGGACCTAATAACCTCTTCTAACACCTCAGGCATGTGTTGCACTTACATACATGCAGGCAAAACACTCATACATATAAAATAAAAATTAAAAAATTAAAAGAAAATTTAATTAAACAGTTGTAAGGAAATGAGGTAAGCAAATAAAAGCAAATATATACTATATGTATACTTCTATATACAGTACAAATGAACTAATGTTCAAATACTTACAGATATTGCTGGGGACAATGTTATATTCCCTATAGATACTTTTAATTCATCCAAAGAAGCCATTGTGTAATGCAAGTTATTTGGATGCATGGGCTTGATTTCTATCCGGTACTTCTTTGGTTCTTCATCTTCAGAGTCAGAGTCACTAGATGAGTAGAAATGATTTTCTTTGGTATGTGAGTATCAGTTAAAGAATTTAGCTTCCAAATTATCTTAATGCATAGTTTTCCACACATTTACAAAAAGGAAAAAAGCTTTTTAAGAGTGAGATATATAGCCGGGCATGGTGGCGCACGCCTTTGATCCCAGCACTCAGGAGGCAGAAGCAGGTGGATCTCTGTGAGTTTGAGACCAGCCTGGTCTACAGAGTGAGTTCCAGGCCAACTAGAGCTACTGAGAGACCCTGTCTCAAAAAGACCAAAAAAAAAAAAAAAAAGTGAGATACATGACTGGAATAAAATTACTAAAATTACTAGCTTTCATTAACAAATATGTAAAATAAAATTAACATTTTTAATTAAAAATCAGAAGACACTTTAAGCAATACATCATTTTTATAACTATATATCAAGCAATCCTCTAAGAATACCCTTATCACAAGAGGATATCATTCTGATTTGCTTCTGGCTTAATACTATACCCTTCTTCATCCACATCAGGAATATTCTAGGGAAAAAAATAAAAAAGAATTGCTATAATGACAATTCCAATATACAAAGAGGTAAAGATTAACCAAATATTACAGTCCAAAATATTACTGAGGGCTAGAGAGATGACACAGCAGCTAAGAGCACTGGTTGCTCTTATAGAGGACGTGGGCTCAGTTTCTAGCATCCATAAGGTGGCTAACAGCAGTCTGAAACTCAAGTTTCAAGGGAACTGACCCTCTTCTGGCCTCCACAGGCAATGCAAGACATGGGTACACTTACTACATGCTGGCAAAATACTCATACACATAAATTTTTTTAATTTTTAATTGTCAAGGTGAAAACCAATTCAGAGTGCTCGAAATCTACAATTTCTTACAAATCAGGTAAAATAAGTGCTTTTTTTCAAAAAGTACAGTCAATACTACAAGAAGCGGCATGGAAATGCATGCCTCTTTAATAAAGACTGGGTGAACCAATGCATCTTGACAGTGCAATGAATCTAGAACAGTTCATCAGTATTTGCAAACATCTCAAGAATCATCATCATGTGCATCCCAAGACAGGGAGCCTTGATAAAAACAAACAAAGAAACAAAAAAAAACCTCTGGCAGCTAAATCTGCCTATAGACCCAAGTACCAATTTATATAAGAGAGAAAAATAAAACAATACACTAAGGGAATACAGTCAGCAAAATCCAGACTAAAGAAACAAAACAAACCTCTGGGAGGAAGAAAGTTAAGGTTGCGGGGGGGAGACAGACTAGACATCTCAATAAATTAAAATTAATTGTAGTGAAACTGACAGGAGATAATGATAAAGCTATATACAAGCTAAAAAGCTGTTTTCAAAAAGGCTGTTTTTGAACCAGTCTCCTGTAGAGCATAAAGTATAGTCAAAATATATACATAACTATCTGAAGGCACTAAAGAGCAACCCAGAGCAATCACCAAAAAGTCTGAAACTCAAAGTGATTCACCCCAAAATATAAAAATTGAAAGCAAATATTTATACTCCCAAGCTTACTGTATTATTTCTAATAGCCAAGACATGGAATCAATCAAGGTGCCCACAAAACAGGTGAATGGATAAAGAAAATGCAATATAAACACAAGTGGAATAGAACTTTAGCCACAAAAGAAAAAACAATGACATCATTTGCAGCTACATGGTTTATAAAGCAGGTGGTAATTATGTTAAGTGAACTCAATCAGGCACAGAAACACAAGTATTTCATGTTTTAACTTATGTGTAGGAGCTAAAGAAATGATAAATACTTGAGATGCTGAATATATTAATCTGATCTGATCACTGCATACATATACTAAAAATATCATACTACATCTCATAAGTACGATTATTGTGTCAATTAAAACAAAAATGTATTTCAAAAAATTTTACTGGTAATGAAAAAAACAATTATTTACTGCTAAAATTAATTAAATTAAAGACAAATTGGTGGAAGAGACAAAAATACTTGACCCAACCATATGATACTTTTAAGAAAGTCAATTAAAATATGAATAGGTTAAAAGAAAAAGGATGAAAAAAATATATCACATGAACATTAGTAATAAGAAAAACCAAAGGGGCTATCTAATATTAAAGTAAATTTCACAAAGAAAATTACTAATAATAGAGAGTCATTTTAGCGGTAAGTAACTCTATATGAAAACTTGTACATGATTGTTCACAAAAAAATTTCTTTCTTTTTCTTTTCTTTTGGTGTTTTGAGACAGGGTCTCACTATGTAGTCCTGGCTGGCCTAGAACTCACTACTTAGACTAGGCTGACTTCAAACTCATAGATTTGCCTGCCTCTGCTTCCTGAGTGCTGGGATTAAAGGCCTACATGATCATGCCTGGCCACAGAAAGCTTGTTTCTGACAACACAAAATTAGTAATAATGAAAATATCCTACAGGGGATGAACCGTTAAAACTTTGATACATCTTTGAAATACTACTCAGAAACAAAAAAAATAGAAATCTTTTCTATTGGAGGGGGGGATGAATACATCTCCAGATAACTGTGCAGAGTGAATACAAGTCAATCTCAAAAGGTTACTATGTAACTCCATTTACATAATTCTCAGAGTAACAGAATTACAGAAACAGGTAAAGGATTAGTGACAGCTAGATGTAAAAAGTGGAGAAGAAAAGTCACATTAAAAAGGTAACTAGTGCAGAAGCTTTGTGGTAATAGAATGAATGCTCTGCTTTGACTGAAGTAGTGTCTATATGCTACTGTAATACTGTGCAACACTTTTACAATATACCACCAACAGAAGAAAGGGTGATGTGTGTACAGTATTACTTTATACTAACTTTGCAACCTCCTATACATCTTAATCAATTCCAAATAAAGGTGTAAAAGGCGGGAGGGCATGGGGCTAGAGAGATAGCTGAGTGGTTAAGAGCATCTACCACTCTTCCAAAGGACCCAAGTTCAATTCTCAGGACCCACATGAGGGTGGGGATGGGGCACTCAGTAGCAGCTATTAACTCCAGTTCCAGGGGCCGACACCCTCTTCTGACCTCTGCAGGAACCAGCACACATATGGTATACACTGACAAAATTAAATTAAATTAAATTAAAAATAAAATAAAAGACAGTTACTCAAGTGTACTAGTTTTTCAGTGCTAGAATTATTCACAGAACTCTAGGTGCAATAAAAACTTAGAGATTACACTATTTTTATTCATTCAATCATTGGTTTCTATATTGGGACTCCCATCAGTGGAATAAAACAGTAGGTCAATAGAAACATGAAGAAGAAGAGACAGACAATTTTAGTGGATTTTTTGTTTTGTTTTGCTTTGAGACAAGGTCTTCTGTAGCCCTAGCTGGCCTAGAACTTGCTATGTAGACTCGGGTGGCTCAATCTTACAGAGCTCTCCCTACCTCTGACTCCTGAGTTCTGGGATTAAAGGCGTGCACGACTGTGCTCAGTTTGGAACAGATAATTTTAATCATCAATTTTAAGTACAGCTGTGATGGTGATGGTTTCCAGAAATTACACTATAAGCAGCTGTGCAAGGTGCACACCTGTAATCCCATCACTCAGGAAGCTGAAGCAGGGAAATTGAGTTCACGGTGCAGACTAGGCTACACAGTAAGTTCAAGGACAGATTCAAATACATTGTGAGACCCTGCTTCAATCAATCACTGTACATATACTGTGAAAGAGCTACAGAGTCAGTAGAACATTTCATCATCCCTGCCGGGAACAGAAAAAAATGTATACATCTTATATCCCTTGATCAATCTTAATCTTTAAAAGATGTAGCACCTTGGGGCTGGAGAGATGGTTCAGAGGTTAAGAGCATTTGCTGGCTGCTCTTGCAAGAGGACCCACGTTCAGTCTCCAGTGCCCATATGAGGCTTACAACTCTGTAACTCTATTTCAAAGGGACTCTATGCCTTCTTCTTCTAATCTCTGCAGGCATTTACATCCATGTAGACAAAACACTCATTCATATAAAATAAAATCAATCAAAAAATTTTTTAAAGAAGATGTAGCACCTCATACTCATTTTTTAAAAAGTTTTAACTTTTTGAGCCGGGCGTGGTGGAGCATGCCTTTAATCCCAGCACTGGGGAGGCAGAGACAGGCGGGTCTCTGTGAGTTCAAGGCCAGCCTGGACTACATAGTGAGTTCCAGGACAGCCGGGGGTACAAGGAGACCCTGTTTCAAAAAGACCAAAAAAAAAAAGTTTTAACTTTTGGGTGTATTTTTATTTCATGTGTCTAAGTGTATTGTCTGCATGTAAGTGCAACAAATGTGTGCGGTGCCCAGAGAGGCAAAAAGAGGGCAATGGGATGCCCTGGAATTGGAATTATGGGTGGTTGTTAGCTACCATGCGGGTGCTAGGAACTGAATTGATAGAAGCCAATGCTCTTAACCACTGAGCCATCTCTCTAGCCCCCCAAATTCATTTTTTAAATTATATATATTCAAAAAGGAATAGAAATGAATGGTATTTTCCGTACAAAATAGCCTATTGATATTTTTTAAGATAACAAGATAAAGTCACGAGTAGTTCATATGTAAACAATGATAAATGGCTATAAATAAAAGGAAACAATAAAGATTAAATATCTTTTTCCCTGCTGATCACCACTATAATCATTCTGCCCAAAGTGACCACAATTAACTGTTTTGTAGATCATTCTTTTAAAAAAGAAGGTAACACTTCTACCTCCATAACCATGTTTTATTTATTTTAAAAGACCACCCTTTGTTTAAATCAGTTCTTTCCATATTGGCACACACAGATTAACCTAATTCTCTGTTACATCCTACTATATAAATAATTCACTTTACCAGTTATCATTCTGATGAATATCTGGGTGCTCCAGTTTTTGATAATGTTTTCTTAACATAAAATTGAAAAAAATGTTCTCCTCCATCTGCCCCAACCAAAAGGATGTGTATATACAACTACAGAGATAGAAGTTTTATGAACAGTCATAACAGTAAATTCTGAGCAGAGAGCTAGTGTTAAAAACAATGTGTATTTTTTTTTTTTTTTTGAGACAGGGTCTCCCTGTAGCCCCAGCTGACCTGGAACTCACTATGCAGACCAGCTGGGCCTTGAACTCACAGAGATCCACCTGCCTCTGCCTCCTGAGTGCTGCGACTAAAGGCATGTGCAACCACGCCCGGCTAAAGAAGAATGTATATTTTTTATTTGGGGAAATAGTGCCAAATTATCCAGAAAACAAACTGTACCAATTTATAACACTACATACCACAGAATGAGTATACCTGCATTTTTGCCAATATAATGAGACTGTTCTGTATAGGTTTCATTTTGTATTAGTGCTAAATAGTAGTCATTGTGGTTATTTATCATTTGTATTTCTTTTGATGAAAACTGTTTCTATCTTTCTATCTTATGTACTCTTCTTACTAGGTACTTGCTTAATTATTTGTGTAAAAATTTTAGAAATGAGAGTAACCAGCCTTTTGCTACAAATATCTTGTCAATGCACTCTGCCAATGTGGTGATACAAAACCCTTTATGGTGCATTTCTAACTACAGATTTTTCATTTCTATACAGTCAAATCTACCAATCTCTTCTTACATGGTATTAGAGTATCATAAGCTCTTTAGCTCTTTCCTAACTTCTGATAATTACCATATAAAATCTAAAATTGAATAATAATGATCATTATAGACTGGTATCAATTAGCTGAATTAAAAATATTTAAGTACATATAATATACCTGCAATATTAAGTGATCCATTTAAAGTTTTGCAGCCATCAAATAAATATACGCTAGAACTAAGTAATTCCAAAATAAAACACATGATAGGAACTACAGTAGATGTAAAAACACAAATGCTGACTTCATTTGTCAGTTAACCCAGGGATAAAACAGGTATATGGTAAGGTAAACGTAACTCCAAAACCAATCTGATGATTTTTAACTCCAACACTTACGATAACTTTATTTCTTAATTTTCATATAGAAATTTTAAAGATTTGTTATTTTCATTTATGAGCATGTGTGTATGCCTACATAAGTTTATGTGTACTACATGCATTCAGGAGCCCATGCAGGCCAGAAGGCATCAAATCCTCTGGAACTGGAGTTACGAGCAGTTGTGAGCTGCCGATATGGATGCTGGGAACAGAATTTGGGTCCTCTGCAAGAGTATTACATGGTCTTAACCACTGAGTCATCTCTTCAGCTCCAATTTTCATATAAACTTATTAACAAATGGTAACTTTCTTACTTGAAAGCTGAAATATCAAACAAAAATACTAGCTTAAGTTAATTACATAAAACAATGCTTCACAAAATATTTTTACTTCTTATTTTGGTACATTACATCATAAAAGATCAAAATGTTTAGGAGTCAAAAGAAAGCAACACTTATGTAAGCAAGAACAATAAGCAAGAGTATTAAAACTCTTATACTTAACCAGTGTCTAATAAACATTTTGAAAAGTGTGTCTGTCTACAGAATTTGGCAAATCTACTCTTGCACTACACCCTTTATACACAAAACCACATTTAACCAAAAAATATAAATAAACCTTAAAAACAACACTAACAGCACAGAAAGAATTCTGCCCATAGCTATTGCTGCTATAATTTCTAATATGATAATTTCTTAAGTGAAAACCATATGTATGAAAAGATAAGCTGTCTTTAAATAGCACTAGGACTAAATTTAGTAAAAGCACATTTTTAAAAAAATATTTTTATTATTTTTATTGTATGTGTATGAGTGTACAGCCTGCGTATACGTGAGTTCACCCGTGTTGTGCAGTGCCACGGAGGTCAGAAGAGGGTTTTCGGATTCCCTTGGAACTGGAGTTAAGGACGGTTCATAGCTGCCATATGGGTGCTGAGAATCGAACCCGGGTCCTCTGCAAGAGCAGTCAGTGCTCTTAACCGCTGAGCTACCTCTCCAGCCCCGTAAAAGCACATTTTTAAAGAATGCAGATTTTAAAAACAATTCTCATTTCCTAAAAACAACCTTACTGACAAAGCACACAAATCTAATTTTAAAAGTAAAATGTTCATTTCTCGAAGTGAGAAATAGGAAAGCACACGATGTAAAACCAAAACTGCATCGTTAAAAAATAATTTTAATGGAGCTGAACATGGTGGCACATGCCTTTAATCCCAGCACTTAGGAGGGCAGAGGCAGAGGTAAATGGATCTCTGTGAGTTCAAGGTCAGGCTGGTCTACATAGTAAGTTCCAGGCCAGCTGGGACAATAAATAATAATTTTAATGGTGAATTTACAACATGGTTACTATTATAACTCAAGTATGATAGCTTTTTTTCTAATGAAAGTAGCTAATTTAAATTGTCTGTAACTAAGTTTTACTTACAAGTGAATCTGCATCAGGGCATTCCCTGTTTAAAAAAACAACAACACAGTGTCAGTAACATTCAATTATTAGAATTATCTGCTAATTGTATCATATCTAGGATACCTACCTTGGTATTTAAATGGCTTATTATTTAAGCTCTATAAAAATATTTATAGGAATTAAATCATGAACATTAAAATATGCCAATTTATTTTAAAATTCACAAGTAGACATTCTTATGCCCAGGATATCTGACAAAACATAATGTACTTCTTGCCGGGTGTAGTGGCGCACACCTTTAGTCCTAGTACTCGGGAGGCAGAGGCAGGTGGATCTCTGTGAGTTCAAGGCCAGCTGGGGATACAGGGAGACTCTGTCTCAAAAAAACCAAAAAAAAAAAAAAAATCATTAATCATCAGTGAAGCTGTTGGCTCTCTAAGGCTTTCTAGTAGCTTTTCCATTTCAAAAATGTATTTGGGGGATGAGTGCAGCACAGGTGTGGAGGTCAGAAGACAACCTGCAGGGTCAGTTTTCTTCTACCATGTGGATCCTCGGGGCTGATCTCAGGTTGTCAGGCCTGGCAAGTGTCTTTAGTCACTGAGCTATCTCATCAGCTCCTCTAGTAGCTTTCTATTTAAATAGGTTTAAACAAAACAAAACAAAACTTTCTTGCCAGGTATGGTGGTACAGCAAGACTTTAGACCCAGCACTACCTAGCACTTGGGAGGCAGAGGCAGGCGAATCTCTGTAAGTCTGTAAGAGTGAGGCCAATTGGTCTACATAGTACATTCCAGGCCTAGTGGGTCTACAGGGAGACCCTGCCTCAAACAAACAAACAAACAAACAAACAAAAAAACTGCAAAATTTAAACCACACTAGACCTAGGCATACTTTGAGGAAACGTTACAAAAAAGGTGGTGCTGGGAGAAGGATTCTAATATTCTGGACACTGATTATACTGGAAATTATTAATCATGAAAACAAGTCTCAAGAGCATGACACATTAAAAAAAACCACAACAACAACAACAACAAAACACTAAACTTGGCCAGACGTGGTGGTGCATGCCTTTAGTCCCAGCAATCAGGAGGGAGAGGTAGGCAGATCTCTGTGAGATCAAGGTCAGCCTGGTCTACATAGTGAGTTCCAAGCCAGCTGGGGCTACAGAGAGACCCTGTCTCAAAATACACACACAAATACACACCCCAACAACAACAACTAACTTAACTCAGTAAGTGAACAGTGGGAAACAGTACCACTAAGAGAGGAGATGAAGATTTCCTACCTCCAAATCAACTATTTAAACTTCAATGTGTAATTCTAGTATTATGAAAAGAAAGAAATTAGATTCCATCTCAGCAAAATACTCCCTTCACAGATCTTCAAGAAAGACATTTGCTGAAGAGAGGGTAACCATAGTTACAAATCACTTTGCAATTGGCTTAATTTTTAAATCAAATACCACCTGGGTGGGAAGGAGAACAGACAGGTATTAAGAACAGCTTAAAAACTTCAGAACTCAGCTAACAGGCATATAACTAGGTAAAAGGCAAGAACACCCAAGCACAGATTACACCTTTATAATAAAAATGAGTGCCCATCAAAATATTAATCTCATGAGTTATACTGATTATGCTTGTAGTAATTTAAAAGTAATTTTCAGAAAATCTTACTAAGCCAAGAAATCACTCAAAACTTTAATATCTCTTTAGTCTAAACAGACTAATTATGGAAAGAAAGATTCCTTTATTTTATCTCTGACTAATCACAGTTTCTCAGCCATTAGCTTGTATTGGGAATCACATAGGCTGCTTAAAACAAAAGAGAACAAAAATAATGCTGAGCCCTCATGCCCAGAGAATCTGATTTAACTGATCTAACATGAATCTGAGGTAGCACACATGTCCTCATTTTAATATTCCAAGTACATATACTGTATAGCCAAGGTAGAAAATTTTATGTAGCTAATACAAGCCTGATTTCTTACATATTTCTTTTTTTAAACATATTTCTTATATACTCTTTATATACTAATTTAATTTTTGTAAAGTAAATCAGACTTATCAGTAGACCAAATACTCCATCTAAAAACAAAGTACTATAAAACAAACTGTATAATATATTAGCCCTTTCCCATTTAACACTTTCCATTGATGTAGATGTATTTAGCTATATATATCACATAATGTGTGATAATTGTCTAGAGGCATTTCATCAAATAGTTGATCAGAGGTTTTCCCTTATGTAATATTGGTATATTTTTTAATTTTTCTCTATATTTCTGTTAAATTTCTAAAACTATATATCATTTTATAAAAAATAATGTATGTTTTCAAATTTTAAAGTAATTAATAAAAAAAGTTAATACTGTGAACTAAAACCAGAGAAAAATGGTAAATCCAGTAATTCTGAAAGTTTTTTTTTTTTTTCCAGTTTGGATATATACTTTGAATAGTATCAAAAAGTTTCAAAATTAGCCAGGCGTGGTGGCGCACACCTTTAATCCCAGCACTGGGAGGCAGAGGCAGGCGGACCTCTGTGAGTTCAAGGCCAGCCTGGTCTCCATAGCAAATCCAGGCCAGCTGGGGCTACAGGGAGACCCTGTCTCAAGCAGACCAAAAAAGAGTTTCAAAATTTAAAACAATTCTTAATCACTTATAAAGAACAAAAAGATTTTGGGCAATATTTAAAATACTTACACAGATTCTGCATCCTTTTCTTTTTTAATTATTCCTGGCAAAGCAAAGGTTTTTCTTTTCCTTGGTTTTATACCTTTAAGATAAATGTACATTGTTACAGAAACGTAACTGTTCTTGGAAAGTACATAAAACAAAAATACTCAATTGTTTCATAATTGTTGATGCAAACTGTCATTGAAAGAAAGAAAAGCATCTGGAGGAATGGTGTACATCTATAATCCTAGCACTCAGGAAGCTGAGGCAGGAGGACTGTGAGTTTGTGAATAGGCTGGGATACATGGCAAAACTCTCCCCCCCCCCAAAAAAAACCAATGAATGAACAAAGAACAAGATAAAAGTATTAATCACTAAAGTCTGCAAAGTAAGTCCACAGTCTGTTGAGATTTTTATGTTAATATATGGTTTATTATTCATGAAAAGATTATAGAGCATTCATCTAATAAAATTCTCTTTTCTTCTGGTAAATATTCCCTATGTAACCTCAGGTAAAATAAGCATATGGAGATAGTAACTAACTCAAAAAATGTACATCACTCATTATATCAGATTTTTTATAAATGTAAGTCATGTTCCTTGGCTAGACCATTACAAAATATAAATGTGGTGCACACGTCCTCACCACCTGTTGTGGTTTTGTTTGCAAAGGTCTTCAATGTCTAGCATAATAGATGCTTGATGGATTCTATTTGCTTTTGTATTTAATCTGTTGAAAAGAGTTGTTTTATCTGATGTAAATGCATAACTGAAGGAGGGAAAAATGAAAAGATCCACAGGAAGTATGATATGAAAAATGTGGAATATAGCATTTTTGTATCCCTGTGCTACTTTTACAAAATGTTATGAACAGATTCAACCATAACTGAGCAGAAAAATTGTCTTTGTTCTTTGCAATATGTCAGTTCATTTTCTTATAGGGTGAGCCATTTTAAAGGTCAGTGGTGCTAGTCACTGTTTAAAGAATTCAACACTTAGTGGGGTGTGGTTGTATACATCTTTAAGTGGGGGTGGTGGGGTGGGTGGAGGTGGACCTCTGTGAGTACGAGGCTGGTCTGGTCTATATAGTGAGTTCAAAGCAGCAGTGAGACACTGTCTCAAAAAAACCACCAAAGCAAAACCAAGCCAAAACAACAACAAAAGAATCCACCACTTAAACTTTATTAGCTGCTTACTCTTTAAGAAGTAAGCAGTATGGACTAGAGAAATGATTCAGCAGTTAAGAGCATGTACTGCCCTTCCAGAGGACCTGTGTTTTCCCAGCTATCATATCAGGTGGCTAACAACCACCTCTAACTCCAGCTCCAAGGGGAGTGTCTTTAGGCACTTGCACTCATGTGCACATACCCATACACAGACACACACAAATACATGTAATTTTTTTAAAATCTTAAAAAAAAAAAAAAAGTAAACAATGAGACCTGGATCACCTAAGAACCCCTCACTTCACTAATGAGAAAACACAAGGGTTTTGCTCAATAGATGTGTGTGTGTGTGTGTGTGTGTGTGTGTGTGTGTGTGGTGTGCATATGCGCGTGCATGTGAAGGTGTGCATTCACATGTGTAGAGGCCAGAGGTTGATGTTGGATATAGGTCTTTTCACTGAACCTGGAGCTCACCAATTAGGCTAGATTGGCTGGCCAGCAAGGCACAGGGATCCTCCTACCTCTGCCTCTCCAGCACAGAGCATTTACATGGGTATTAGAGATCAAACTTGAGTCCTCAAGTGTACACAGAAAGCACTTTACAGACTGAGCTACGTTCTCACCCCAGGTTTTGCCTTTTTTGGGGGTGGTGAGATAGGGTCTCCCTGTAACTCCAGCTGGCCTGGATCACTATGTAGACCAGGCTGGCCTTGAACTCACAGAGATCTGCCTGTGTCTGCGGCCCCACCCCCACCCCCAGCACTGGGACTAAAGGCATGCACCACCATGCCCGGCTGCAAGTTTTGCTTTTCTTATCTCAGAATAAAAAAAAAAATTTAAAAACCTAACTGTGTCAGGGGGCTCAGCAGTTAAGAACACTGATTATTCTTTGTAGAAGATCCAGGTTCAAATCCCAGCACCCACATGGTAGCTAACAACTGTCTGAAACTCCAGTTCCAGGAAATCTGATGGCCTCTTCTGTCCTCCACAGGCATTGCACGACATGGGTGCACTTATATACATGCAGGCAATATACTCATACACATAAAATAAATTTTTTTAAAAAAATAAATAAATAAAAATCCAGTGTCAGACAAAGTTTAGGCTGTAAATGATGCAGCTGTATAGCATATTATAATATTTTAAAAACCAATTCTTGAGGGCTGGAAAGATGACTCAGCAGTTAAGAACACTTGACTACTCTTGCAGAGGACCCTAGTTCAGTTCCCAGCACCCACATGGCAGCTAACAACCATCTGTAACTCCAGTTCCAGGAGATCCAACATCCTCTTCTGATCTCTGTGAGCATTGCACGACACAGGTGCACTTACATACATTCAGGCACAACAGTCATATGCATAAAATAAAAATAATGAATAAAAAATTTTTTTAAAAACACCAACTATCAGAGTTGGGCATGGTGGCACACACCTTTAAGCCCAGCACTCAGGAGGCAGAGGTAGGTGGATCTCTGCGTTTTTAAGGCCAGCCTGGTCTACATAGTGAGTTCCAAGACAGCTGGGGCTACAGGGAGACTCTGTCTCAAAAACAAAGATGAACAAACCCACAAAAAACAGAAAACAAAAACCACTATCTTTTTTTTTTTCAATCAAAGTACAGGTACTTTTTATTATCCACACTTTACTATAAAAACTTTAAATAACAATAATTTTTACTTCTCAAATGGCTAGTGAAATATAACAAGCAGGGGGCTTGGGGCTATTGATAACCAACAATAAAACTTTTAGAGCATAGCAAATTATTTTTACAAATTGAAAACAGAATGATCCTTTCAGATTATTTTCGATCCTTTCAGATTATTTTCAATAGCTCACAAAGAGATAATAAAGCATAAATAAAAACAGCAGGCAAGCAGGAACTGTGGGGATGGCTCCATGGGTAAAGAACTTGCAATGTTAAGCATGAGCTCAGATTCTCAGCAGTCATAAAAAAGTAAGGCATGGCAGCATGTGCCTGTAACCCTGATGCTGGGGAGTGAAAACAAGCAGATCCTGAGGGCTTGCTGGTCAGCCTGCCAGCCAGTCTAGCTGAAATGGCTAGCTGATAGTTCAGTGAGAGAACCTTTCTCAAAAATTAAGGTGGACCGTGACAGAGGACAACTTCCAAGGTCAACCTCTGTCCTCATATTTGCACACAACACACATGAGCACACAAAAATCAATCCGTATCACAGGTTTCAGTCTAAGAGTTTCAGGATGGTTGTGGGTATTTTCTCCAAGTCTACTCATCACCCATTTGAATGGTAGTGATATTGACTTTAATGCATAACCTCATTAATAAATGAAACAGTACCACTGCAGAGTAACCACTTTATATTAATGTGTAATGATGAGTTACATATTCACGATACTAAAAGATTGGTGTCAACAGAGAAAATAATATATTTAAAATAATATGTTCTATGTATCATCTTTTAAAATAAATTATCATAGGCTATGGGTGTGGCTCACTGGTAGAGCACTTGCCTAATACATGTGAGGCATTGGGTTCAATATCCAGGACCATTAAATGTATATATTTTATTTTTTTAAAACATATTTTATTATTTTTATTTTATGTGTATGTGTATATTGCCTGCATGTAGTTAAGTGCACCTGTGTCGTGCCCACGGAAGACAGAAGAGGCTGTAACTGGAGTTACAGACAGCTGTTAGCTGTCGTGTGGGTGCTGGGATTCGAACCCAGGCCTTCTGCAAGAACTGCCAGTGTTCTTAATCCCTAAGCCATCTCTCCAGCCCCCTAAATGTATTTATTTTAACACTGTGCTAACATCAATGGCTAGCAGCACTTTTTTATTTGTTCAATGGGAAGAAGACACTAATTGCCATGAGTTAGTATATTACAAATAGTTAACTCACCTTCAACTGCACTAGCAGGGTCACACTCCTCAAATTCAATAAGGCCTGTGTAGAAGAACGATTTGCATTAAAAAACAATTACTAGATAAATTTCATCATCATTCACTCATTCACTCATTCACTCATTCATTCATTCATTCATTCATTCATTCACGGCAGGGTCTTACTGGCCCCAAATTCTCTGAGTCACCTGTCTCTGCCTCCTGAGTGCTGGGATTAAAGGTGTGCACCACCATGCCGAGATTCAGTATGTCTTTCTCTTTTTTAAAAAAATTATTTAATTCTATAGCCAGGCATGGTGGTGCTTGTTTTTGAGACAGGGTCTCCCTGTAGCCCCAGCTGGCCTGGAATTTGCTATGTAAATCAGGTTGATCTGGATCTCACAGAGATCCACCTGCCTCTGCCTCCCAAGTGTTGGGAATAAAAGTATATGCCACCTCACCCCCCAGTATGTCTTTCTAAAACCAGTTTTAACTTTAAAATTTAATTGACAATACATCTTTTTTTTGGTCTTTTTAAGACAGGGTCTCCCTGTAACCCCAGCTGTCCTGGAACTCACTATGTAGACCAGGCTAGCCTTGAACTCACAGGGATCCACCTGCCTCTGCCTCCCAAGTACTGGGATTAAAGGTGTGTACCACCACGCCCGGCGACAATACATCTTTTTAAAAACTTATTTTTCAATTGTATTTATTATTTTGTGTGTGTGTGTGTGTGTGTGTGTATATGGTGTATAAGTTCAAGTGCACATGTGCTACAGCACACATATACAGTGAGAGGACAGCTTCCAGGAGTCAGTTCTCTCCTTCTACTTGGATGGTGTAGAGTGTCTCTTGTCTAGCTTGTTGGACGGCTTACTGACTCACACCACTGCATATGACTTTTTCACATGGGTTCCAGGGACAGAACTCAGGGTTGTCAGGCTTTTACCTGCTACATCATCTTGCCAGCCTGACAAAACATCTTTTTAAAAATCATCCTATAGTGTGTTCCGGTGCTTATAGTAACTTAAAATACTAGAGTTTTAAATTTTTTTATTTATGATGACTATTATTATTTTACATGAGACAGAGAGATACAAAGAGAATGAGCAAACACATGCAGAAGCACACACATGGAGGTCAAAGGACGACTTTCAGGAATAGATGCTCTCCTTTTACCCTAGGTCCCAAGGACCAAACTCAGTTTTATCAGGTTTATATGGCAAGTGAATGCTTCTATCTGCTGAGTCATCTCACTGGCCCTAGTACTAATTTTAAGATTTATTTTATGTGTATGAGTGTTTTGCCTGCATATGAATGATTGGTACCCACAGGGGCCAAAAGAGGGTGTCAGATCCCCTAGAACTGGCGTTACAGACAGGTGCTGAGAACTGATCCTAGATTCTTTGCAAAAGCTGAAACCATGGAATCATCTCTCTAGCTCCTCAGTAATAACTTTTAGTCAAATAATCCTAACTGAAAACCTAAGGGCCAGTGAGATGGCTCAGCAGGTAAAGGTGCTTGCCAGCAAGACTGATCACCTAGATTTGATCCCTTGAATCCTCAAGGTGGAAAAGAGAACTGATTCCTGGCAAGTTGTTCTCTAACCTTCACACATGCACCATGGGATATATGCTTTTACACCTGTATACACACATATACACATACGCACAAACAAATTAAAATTTTAAAACTAAGACTAGTCCATTAGGATCTTATTACTGAAAATTTTTTATATGTGACACCATGGAACTAGAGACATATATAGCTTCTGCTTTCAAGAAGCTTGCACCACAGTTTAATGGGAGAAAATAAACATAGTAAGAAGCAGGTGCTGAATCCTTGGCTATACTAATGGGAAAAGAAGAACAATACAGTAAATACTACTAGAATGTAAGCTTGGTGCCTCATCTGTCCAATTCTCTATTCTACTCTCAATTCCTAGAATAATGCCAGGCAAACACTTAAGTCTTCAGTAAATTCCTGTTGAATAAATAATCACGTGCTAACTAGGTGGTCACCCCAGGATTATAATCCAGATATCTAATTGTATTAGAAGGTCAAAAAATTTGAACTGTAATTGCAGGCAAATGGAAAGTTTTTTTTTTTTTTATATGAAACACACCACACACAAGATGGTCTTGCCAAGACTGTGTGTGTGTGTGTATGCAGTCTTACAGAAAAATTAATTTAGTACTAGTAAGAGGGATATACTATAGAACAGTAAATGGTAAAGTAGAATTCAGTCAGAAAAAAATTAAAATAGCCCTGAAATGACCGAGCTGCAGACTAGCTTTCTACGTCATAAAGAATCCAGGGTTGAAGAAATGGCTCAATGGTTAATAGCATTGGCTGCTCTTGCAGAAGACTCAGGTGCAGTTCCCAGCACCCACCTGGCAACTAACAACAGTCTATAACTACAGTTCTAAGGGATCCAACACCCTCTTCTGACCTCCATGGGCACTGCACAACACGGGTGCACTTACACACACACAAGCAATACACTCATTATTTTAAAATAATGAATGCTTTCATATGAGAAATACCAAACTGCTTAGGTGGATAGAAAGCAACAACAAAAAACTCTGAATTATTCTCCTACTAAAATGTCCTACTGCTAAACATCAGACTAAAAAATTCTCTCTCACTCAAGTGCTATGCTAGTCAACATAAGGGTATTTATGAAATAATATTTATCAGTGGCACCTAACATTACCTACATTATTAAGAAATTAACAAATAGAGACTGAAGTAAAGAGAGAATGATAGATTTCCTTATTCATTCTTCTGAGATGTGATGCTTAAGTGTAACTATGTGCAAACTGTTGACCAAAGTTCTTGTTGATCTCTCAATTATGAAAGAAAACCACTGGTTAATCCAAGTATTTCTCTGTAAAATAATCTAAAAACACTGGAAGCTCACACCCTTAATCTCAGCATGTAGGAGGCAGAAGCAGGTGAATCTCTGTGAGTTTAAGGCCAGCCTGATCTACACAGTGAGTTCCAGGCCAGTTGGGGTTACAGGGAGACCCTGTCTCAAAAAAATAAAATAAAATAAAAATCTAAAAACATAGGCTTTCTAAAAACATTGTCTTTCTTTCTCTCTCCTGCCCCAAACTAAGGTTTATTTCTAGTTGGTCCTAATTTCTGTTCAAATCAAACAGCTTACCATTCTCCGATAAGCATAATAACCAAGTAGTCCATAAAAGGGAGCCCATAAAGTCCTAATTCATTTCAGCATCTTTATTTCCATACCATTATTCTGTATCACATGTCTAAGAAACTACTTATCACTTTCACTCAAAAGGGGCTTTAAAAAGGTTTTAAAAAATGACCCAATTGGAAATGGAAGGAGTTTATACATATTCACACTACATATATGTTAATTAAGAAATCTTTTAATAAAAGGGCTTTGAGCTTATTCTTAGAAATCTTTTAGAGATCTGCTATCAAGTTACAATGAGATGAAAACAGACAAACAGGCAAAGAAGGTCAATATAGGAAAAGAATTGAAGTATGGGTCTGGGGAGATAGCTTAGCAATTGTGTACTGCTCTTCCAAAGGACCCGAGTTCAAGTCCCAGAAGCCACGTCAGCGGTTCAGAACTGCCTGTAACTCCAGCACTGAGAGCACGTGCACAAAGCAACACAAACAGACACATAATTTGAAAAATAAAATATATACTAAAGGAAATGAAGTATGCACATCTCATGAATCAGCATTTCTTGTTTGGTCTATAAATGACCAAGAATGAAAACTCTACCTCAGTAATCAACAGCCCAAGTGCTACTGACTTTTCTAAGTACAAGTAAAGTTTGAGAAAATACAAAGATATGCCAAATAAATCTGAGAAAAAGATTACCCAAACAAGGTAACCAGAAATGTGGTTATTCAAATATTTCCAAAGTACCCAGCTTCTAATTTATTCAGTAACTATATACAGAATCTCTAGGGTATGAGCTTATGCTAAACCAGGAGAGAAAGATAAAAACATAACAGAAATGTCAAAAAAATCAAACATTATCAGTGAATATGTTATATATAGAAAAAAATGCTTTAAGACCTTTGGATGATTTCATATATGAAAATATTAAAGGCATCCAGTAAATCAGTAATACCAATTACTTTTTTAAAACTTCTACACTTTTCTTTACAAACTCTCATGAGACATAAGACATATCTTGATTGAATTTCCTCTACTTTTTCTAAACAACTCAAAAATCAATTCCAAAGTATGTGTCCATATTCAAAATGACAAACATTTTTTGCAAAATAAAATGCCAATCATTTTAAATCAAAGAATATATACAAATGCTTGAGTACCATCCACATAAACTTTTCATTGAAGACAGAAATGTCAATAGTTCCTAGCATAATGAAACTAATAGACTCCTCATACAAAATTTAAATCATGTACAGGAAGATGTTCTTTTTCAAATGGCACATGCTCCTTCACATAGCTGGGCTTTGCGTGCCCGGCTCAGTGCCAGTTGACAGCTCAGCTGGATATCAGCACAGTCTGACCCCTGTAGTAGCACGTCAATTCTGGATTGTTTCATAATTGTTAAGTATATTCAGCATCTCCCTCAAATGCAATCCACTGCCTATCACTCTGCTATTTAATCATAAAACAAGTTATTTTCTTGACAGTATTAAAGCCAGAGTAAGATTCTTAATTACTAGTTTGCTACAAATGGAATTTCAGCTGCTTTACACACAATTCTGTTGTCAAAATAAATAACTGCTCTTAGCACTTGGATTTTATGCATGGTCACAAGAGCAATTGAGATAGTATAAAAGTAAGTAAAACCATTTGTTTCTCTCTAGACATCTTATCACACACACTCTAAAAATGCCACTATGAGTTCAACTCATCAGAGAACACTGCAAAATGCCAGTGATTCAAAGCAAAACATCTTAAATATAATGTTTTAGTTAGGAAATAGAAATAAATTACTGCTATAAAAAAGTCATCAACCTAATGAATTCACCCAACCTAATATGGACCAAAACTTTTAAGAAATATTACAAGAGGAAAAGCAAACTTACTATTAATCTTTAATC